TTCATGATTAGAAGGTGCTCATTCCTCATGGCTATTGAAACCCTCTTACGACCCTGGGGTCCTACCCCTTGACAGATTTCAAATGTCCCCCTGGAGGGATCATGCTCAGAGTGGTACTCCACTCTAGGTTCTGTGTAATGGGAGCATTTTGTACAAACGGCCCCAGAGGAGCCCTGGGTTCTATGGCCCACTGACGAATCCACTGCCACACTAAGAAAGTGCCTCAGCCTCACTATTTCCTTTCTTCATCTGTATAATGGGATCCCACCGCCTGCCCTGTCTGGCAGTTGGGAAGATTCTCGGAATGTGTAGGTGAGCTCTTAAGGTGAATTCTTGTGCAGGATAGAGGCAGGAGGATTCTGATGAAGATTTTCTCTGGTCTTCCCCCAGAGGTGAGGCTAGGATGTCTGGGTGCTTCTTTATCCTTCACGCATGCCACCCAGACCCCCCATCTGACAGGAGGTTCTGATGGTGCTGCTTCAACAGAAGAATGTGGAACCAATTGAAAACCCAGGGTCCTTCTCCTGGGATCTGCAAATGGGCTTCAGGGCCTAGGAGCCTCCTGAGGTTGTGTGCGAAACTGGGTAGCTTCGCCTTTTCCTGGGGAAAGGCCACACTTTTCTTCAGATCCACTGCTATGGATCAAAAGTCCAAACACACTGGTATCATTTTCTTTTTTTTTGAATTAGAGAAGGTGGCTGCACTATATTGTACCTGTACTAAATTCCACTTTAAAATGGTTTATGTTACACGGACCTCAAATCAGTAAATTTCAACACACTTTCAACACAGCCTAGTGTGTACATGTGTGACTATAAAGCAAAACGTCCCACAACATCTACCTTTACTGTTCTTACACTTGTAAACGACTTTTCTTCCCTCTTTATCTTCCTTTCAGCTGGTTATGGTTTGAACTGTTTGGTTTGTTTTTCACTGGTTTAGCTTTTTTTTTGAGGCAGAGTCTCACTCTGTCACCCGGGCTTGGTGCAGCGGTGTCATAGCTCACAGCAACCTCAAGCTCCTGGACTTAAGCAATCCTCTTGCATCATCCTCGCATGTAGCTGGGACTACAGGTGCCTGCCACAACACCCGGCTAATTTGTCTATTTTCAGTAGACGGGGTCTTGCTCTTACTCAGGCTGGTCTCCTGAGCTTAAGGGATCCTCCAGTCTCAGACTCCCAGAGTAATGAGATTATAGGCATGAGCTACTGTGCCCAGCCTGATTCAGTTCTACTAGAAAGACCCATCATGTGCCAAGCACTCTGATCAGGTTTAAGAACTCCTGAGATCTCACTTACTCCTGAACCATCTGGGTGTGAACACTTGGGGGCAGCAGGACTTCGGGCTTATGAGAAAGCACAGTTTGCAGTTGTCTTCCCACCACGGGCTCCCAAGCACACCCGCCTATCCTCTCCCCACTAGTTATCTGAGAAAATGAAGCCCAAGACTCGAATTCATCTTCCATCTTCTCCCGGGGTCTTGGCACTAGTAGTGTGGGGGGCTGTTTCCCACTTGAGACATAAACATACACCAAATCCAGTGTGGAACACTAAGTAAACATCAGCAAGAGTTGCTATTCTAGAATAAATAGACTCACGTGATGGGAGAATAGGACGTAGACCCTACTGTGGCTGATTGCCAAGATGGCCATCCCAGTGTCCCTTCCTGCACCCATGCCTCTGGGGAGCGCCCACACTGCAGCAGGGCTGCCTGTACCAAGCAGTGAGTTAAGCCAACCATGGCGAGGGCTTACACACTGATGCTTGCTTTCTTGCTGGGCTGCCCCACCCCACCCCCCAGCTGACTGCATGCCAACAGCCGGATATGAGGCTACCCTCTGCCATTCATCCCAACCCAACCAGGCTAGCTCAAAATCCTAAGAAACTGTGTGTGTGTGTTTTAAACTTTGAGGTAGTTTGTTACATAGCAAAAGCTAACTGGATGCTGATTCACACACCATTGCAACGATCAGGACAATGTGAACACGGACTGCATAGTGGGCGATCCTAGTGAATTCACATAATTCTGGTAGGCACTATCATGGCCTTGTACCCCTGTCAGTGTGGGAATGTGTGCTGAATTATAGGTACGTGGCATGTTTGAAGATTGCTTTAAAACACAATTGGGGAAAAGCACCTTGAGGGTCACTGCACACAGCATGGGCTGCCTCCTTCAGTCTGGGTGTTTCCTGACTTGGACTTTCTCGCTGTGCTGCCAATCAAGGGTGAGAACATGAGGGGGGCGTGGCCCAGGGGAAGATTCATCGTGGGGCACAGGAATGGTTGGAGCAGGTAGAAAATGGAAGAAAGATCTGGAGTGAACAGGTCAGGCACAGATGGAAACCAGCTGAGACCTGTTAGGGAAGCCAGAGTTCCCCAAGGTCAGAGAAAGAGGCTGAGAAATGAGGCTGCTAAGCTTCGCTTTGTGGACCCAAGTCCCATCTTTCAATAGCAGCCACTTCTATTGAATCTAGGCACACAGACATAGCCCAACTTACCCATGATTTCCAAAGTCCACTGGATGAGAAACAGAAATTTCTAGTAGAAGTGGGACTTACTGAAGTAGGACACAGAAGACAATGTAAGGAGCCGGCCAACTTGTCTTTGTCCCTAAAGAATGTGTACCTTGTGTCACGCCTCTCCCTGTGGGCCTGGCGCGGCAGTGCCAACCTGGAATCAGGACTCTAAGATAAGGACAACTTCTTGCTCAGCCATGAAATTCCCCCATTTGTGAAATGGGGTACAATTCAGATTATAGGATTTGAGACAATTCACTTTCTTACTATCCAAGACATCTCATAAAACCAAAAGTGACTGCTGTACCGAGCAGTCTTGGTGCCAGGGAGCCTATCCCCACCACTCGTCTCCTACTGCCTCTATGCCAGTTCCTAATGGAAAGTCCGTATTTCAAAATGTCTAATTGACTAAAAGCCCCATTGTGCTTCGGAGGTGGAGACACATGGCTAGTCGGCTAGTCCTACAAGCTTCGGAAACTGGAATTTCCAGCCAATCGGCCCTTGAGGCCTGGGCTAGACCCTTGCAGCTCAGAGGGTTTGTGTCTGAGGGCCACAAACTTCTTGGGCCACGACACGAGACACGCAGGGTGGGCTTTGCCACATACATGATGGAAGGTGAAGGTAATGTGTGAACAGTATGTGCTTTAATAAGGCCTGGGGCTGGGCGCAGAAGCTCACACCTGTAATCATAGCACTCTGGGAGGCCAAGGCGGGTGGATTGCGTGAGCTCATCACGTTTGAGATCAGCCTGAGCAAGAGACCCTGTCTCTAAAAATAGCCGGTGTTGTGGTGGACGCCTATAGTCCTGGCTACTCAGGAGGCTGAGGCCAGAGAATCACTTGAGCCCAAGAGTTTGAGGTTGCTGAGAGCTATGATGCCATGGCACTACCAAGGGTGACAAAGGGAGACTGTCTCAAAAAAAGGAAAAAAAAAAAAAAAAAGAGTAAGGCCTGGAACTTGACTTATCACACCATATTGGGAAATGATCTAAGGAAAATGTATTATCCTTTTTTTTTTTTTTTAAGAGACAGTCTCACTTTGTCACCCTTGGTAGAGTACCGTGGCGTCATAGCTCATAGCAACCTCTAGCTCTTGGGCTTAGGCTATTCTCTTGCCTCAGCCTCCCAAGTAGCTGGGACTACAAGTACCCACCACAACGCCTGGCTATTTTTTTGTTGTTGTTGCAGTTTGGCTGGGGCTGGGTTTGAACCCACCACCCTCAGTATATGGGGCCAGCGCCCTACTCACTGAGCCACAGGGACCGCCCGTATTATCATTTTCTTAATGGCCGATCACAGTGGCTCATGCTTATAATCCTAGCACTTTGGGAGGCTGAGCCAGGTGGACTGCTTGACCTCAGGAGTTCAAGACCAGCCTGAACAAGAGCAAGACCCCCATCTCTAAAAATAGCCAGGCATTGTGGTGGGTCCTGTAATCCCAGCTACTTGGGAGGCTGAGGCAAAATAGATTTAAGCCCAAGAGTTTGAGATTGCTGTGAGCTATGAGACCATGGGCACTCTACCAGGGGGGGACAAAGTGAAACTGTCTAAAAAAAAATATGTATTTTTAATCCACAAGTTCCGAGATGTGTTTGAATCAAAGCAGGTCTTATAACAGATGACATTTACAATCAAGACAACCCATCAGCTCTGACTACCTGGGAGACAATCACCCCTCCCCCCATGTGGGCTGCACAGGGGAACCACCTGGGAAATTAAAAACCTACCCTCGGCCCTTGTCCCAACTATGGAAACAGCAACTAGGAGGGCCTCTGCTGATGTGCTGAGCAGGGAATAAACAAAAAGTCATATTCCCCAGTGCTGCGAGACCCCTTACCTTTAGCTTACTCTTGACAGTTAAGGGACAGAAGAGTTTTCAGGGTAGGATGGGATGGAGCTGAGATGAGTAACAGAACAGCTACGCTTCCCTCCAAGCTCAAAACCAGGATAACCTGAGGCGACTGCAACACTTATTGGGGGCCTATTTTTGAGAATCACTTACCACTTTGAAAGTGTTTATTTAGCTTTTCTCAAGTGTTGGCTGCCTCAGGCTTCAGATCATAATGGAACCTTCACTCAAGCTGCTGGGCTAAGGGGTGGGGTGTCTGAGCTGCCACAGATAGATCACTCCTCAATGAAGTAATTCACGCCTCTTTAGCAAAGAGACGGTCAAGGCCAAAAGGAAACACATTTCCCAAAAATCCCAGAAGAGTTCAGTGTAGAAACTGCAGGAGACTGTGTGCTGGGCTCGGCTACCACAGGCAGCCAACTTGTGAAGAAACCTCTGCAGTTCTGGTTACGATCTGCGCATGATGTGAAACTGCAGTAGGACGTGGGTAGAGAGCAATCATTTGTGGGACAGAGTAAAAGACCTCAGAAAGTATTATCCACCACTTAAAAACAAAGACATACCAGGAAAGCAAAAGAAAGAACTTTCTTTTCCCTTTGTTAGGGGCAAAGGAAAATACAATAATCACTAAGAGACGTGGAGTTTGAAAAGTATATAACAGATTTTTTTTATTTACAATCAAGTTCTATTGGGCAATATAATCAAATAAATAAAAGCTGTGCCCTGTGAATTTCGGCTCTCCTCAGCACAGGTTCTCTGAAGGGCAAACCGAAGAGGGTAGATGCAGGCAGGGCAAAGGGGAGGAGCAGAGCCCTGGCCGCTGGCAGGAAGGCCACTCGCTCTTCTCACTCCTCTCACCAGCTCCAGCATTCACAGCCCCGAGTGCCCAGAGAACAAGTGTGGAAGAACAACAGTTAAAGTGCAAATTAAAAAGTGATGGAAACACTGGTGTTTCAGACACCCCAAGAACTAAAAGTTTATACACAGGCAAAAGGTGAAGATGAATGTCCCCTGGCCCCCAGTTTTCATCGCAGCCCCGGAAATGGGAAGATGACACTGCTCTGGCTCCCAGGATGGGCTTCCTACACTAAGGCCTGGTGGAAGGGCAGCGGCAGGACTCGCCAGATCCAAAAGAACACGTTTGGAGACCTCGAGCCCCAACACTAGCAAGAACCTTCTGGGTATTTGCAGTAAACCCACTTCCCTGGCAAAGGTTGTCATACTTCCTCTCCTCTGAAAAATTTTTTTAAAAAAACCAAGCTGCGATTTATTTCTTGACTAGAATTGGGGTGCGGAGGGTGGGGGGAGGGCAGAAGATCTGAAGAGTTGAAGAGACAGAGGGGAACCACAGCAGGAACAAGGTGCATTCAGAACAAGAGCCCTGTAATAACACCACAGCCTAGCAGCAAGGGCCACAATCCCCCAGAGCCAGGACAGGCCCTGTGTTGGAGTTTCCATTAATCTAATGCTTAAAGCAAGTTCACTGGGCAAATGGCCCCAAGGTAACAGGACATGCACTAGGCCAGAACCAACTTTGGAAGGACGGGAGAGAGCACAGGGAACCAACACTGGACGTGTGGGGTGTTTTTGGCACTGCTGTCCAGAGAGGAGACCCTGGGGGCCCTGTGCCCCCCCTAGTGAGGTATGGAGGTCAGAGCTAGTAGTGTTTCCCACGCGAGCCAACAGCCCAAACCTCTGCTAAGGGACTCAGTGTCAGAGCTGTTCAGTGTTATTCTTCCAGGCCAGCAGAGACCTTAGTCAAATCCTCAGGAATCTCGTCCAAAGGAGGCCACTGAGCCACACGGCTCAAGTTCTTCTCTGGAAAGTCAAAGCTATGCCTGGCACACTGCCCGCCAGGACATGGCCGCAGAGTCCTCACGATTCTCTGGAGAAGGGTGCTGAGGTTCCCGGGCCCCGAGAACCCTGTCAATACTGTGCCCACAGCACAGCTTTGGATCCTTTGTCTACACTGACGACATGTGAGCCAGAGGGAGACCAGGTGACTGCGTTGATGGAGGAGCTTTGAAGGAGAGATGAGAAGAGCATCAAGGTTTAGAACATGTGTGCTGAGTCTCAGTGAGCCACACACCAGACGCACATGTACTCAGCGAGTCAGGGCTGCTCCACGTTCTATCTTGCTCCCCATCAGCACTCGCCCACGCAGAGGCAGGGGCTCTGGCCACTCTGGCAGCCAAGCCTCACCACATCTGCCTCAAGGGTGACCTCTGAGTGAGCTGCAAGAGATATTACATGTGCCTCTCAAAAGCTAGGAGAACCTGGACCAGTGAGGAGCAGCTGCTGCTGCCTGAAGGTGCAGAGACAGCTCTGGAGGAAACTGGGGTCTGTGTTCCAAATAGCAGGTAGGCTTGTGTGGACAGAACAAAGCTAGGAAAAGAGTAGGCCTAGGGATGCCTACCAGGTGGGCACCCAGATAAAAAAGGCATATGAAAATAAGTGTTTGGGGCAAGCCAGTTTACCAACAAAAGGAACTTATAAGGGAGAGAGGGAGAGAGGGTGGAAGGAGAGTAGAGAAGGGGAAGGAGAAGACCTAGTACACGACAGAGACAGGGACATGTCTGTAACCCTGTCTCCAAACCCAGATATTCTGTCGTGACTGTGGTCTGCTGTGCCAACAGCCCCAGCTTCTCTCCACAAACCCAGCTGAGTCAGCTGAGCAAGTGGGTGGATGCTGCCCTCATGAGGCTGACTGAGGTGTGAGCCGAAGACATGATATCAGGAGGGAAGCAAGGTACGGGCCTGGCCCACAACCTCAAGAGAGATGACAGGGTCCCTCTTACCTGTGCTGCTTTGAAAGAACCTTCTCCACTTTCCCTGTGAGCACACTCCAGATGTAGAGGGAGCCTTCAGCTGAGCCTGCTGCCACGTAACTGCCGTCAGGGCTGGAGAAGGCAGGAAGAGAAGGCTGTTAACTCCCCATGCCCAATTCAGCATCCTCATGGTCCTCCTGCCCAGAAGGAATTATGACCCCTCCCGTGTCCCCAGACATCAGAGCGTGCCCCGCATGTCCCTACAGCTGGATCGGCTTTATTTTGTTACTCTGGCCTCACCCTGCACATTACTTCTGAGAAGAACCAAGTTGCGCGGTAAGGGGCATCACTAACCTGAAGACAACCCTGGTCCAATCAGAGCCGCACTTGAACCCAGGTGCACTGAAACAGACAACAGGACACTGTCACCAGAGAGCCACATAGCATGGATGAAAGCAGGAATGGAGGCTTCCAGACGTCACAACCCTCAGGAAACTACTATGTTTCCAGTTACCTGAATGTCTGCTTGACAGCATTTGTTCGAAGATCAATAACTTTTAGCAGGTCATCCCGGGAGCAGCTCAGGAGCTCAGTCCTTTCTGGGTTCAAGTCTAGGGCAGTAATCTTTCCCAACAGCTCCATCTCTCGGACTATACTCTCTGACCTAAGAGAGAGATGAAAAATCTGAGAAAATGGAATATGAAAAGGTCAGAACTTCATTTTAACCAGGATAGCATGCCATGGAGGAAAGAAAAAGCATAATGTAACTAGAACGTGATACTCTAAGGTCAGTGACCCTTAAGTTAAACCCAGTGACTATTTTTACCAACAGACTGTACCAACAGACCCTATGGCAGTAGTTTTCAGTATGAGAACTCTGAATCTGGTAAATCTCCTTGTTCATGTTTAAAGTGAAAATCAGAGCTTCCGATTGGGATGAGCTAACCAGGGCCACCATCCAACTGGTATTAGTTCAATGCTTTAATTCTAACTTCTGGATAAAGCTGGCACAGAGCCCTGAGTTGGAGGCCTGCTGCCACGTGTGCTCACCTGTGTTGTCTATGGCAGGTTTCCCGCCACACTCAGGTTAGATCTGGGGCCCTCTGACCCCAGTGTGGCCGTTCCAAGTGTGGAACTGGGGAGTCCAGGACAGAGCCTGTGCACTACACACCGCCCTCTTGTCTACTCCCAATTCTCTTCTGTGTCCCATCCGCGCCCAGGTCAGCTAACCCACCCTCGACAGGGCCCTTCGGTGACATTCACAGCCAAAGGAGGTGCTGACCTCACCAGAGTTAGCTTTCAATGATATTTTTACTCACACCTTAATAAACAAGAGTTTACCTTATTGTTGCTAAACGTTAGCTTGAAGTAAGCTGCTCCACCTCCTCAGGACGAGATAGCTACCACCCAGTTTAACGCGAAAATTTCACATTTTAAGTTACAACTTTAGGTTTTAAAAACTAACCAAAGATTATAAAAGTTGAAGCAGTGTCAAGGAGCTACAAGCATCATGGCAGGGCTTTCTGGACCCAAGCCACATTCCGAAGCACCATCTGCACCTGTAAGTCCTTCACTTCCCTCTCTCTGCCACCCTGCTGGGCAACTGGGCTTCTGGCCCAACTGCCTCTGCTCAATCAGATCACCAACTACCTCTAGAGTAATCAGCCCAAGACTTCTGCCACAGATGCTCTGCTCCCGCCCCCCCCCAGCATCGTGCGACGCTCCCATCCCAGCACCCCCCTGCCCAGCTTTCCTTTCCCCTGGGCCCCTCCTCTTCAGACAGCTCCCGAATCACTGTGCCCTTGCCTTGCTTATGTGACTACTCTGATGACCACTCTGTCTTCAAAGTCCTCCAGTTCACTGAAGACTCTTGATTTTTTTCCTCCACCTCCAACCTCTTAAAAACTTATTTATCCAAATGTCTATTAGAAACCACAAATTAATGTCCACATCAAAAACACTCATCACACACTCACTCTAACTCTGTCCTCATTCAATCTCCACCTTGCTATTTCCTTCCTTCCTTCCTTGTCCTCTGCCTCCAACCTGTCAATAAGCCCTGCCCAAACCGGCCCTCAAATCGATTCCCTCCCTCCACACCTCCTCTACTGCCTCGCATTCAGGTCCTTATTAACTCCTTACTGATTGATTGCTCCCTAATATGGCCTCCTGAAGTGTTGCTGAAGCCATCTAGTAGACTCTTGCAGAGTAATCATTTCCCTGCTGAACCCCTGATGGCTTAGAGGATCAAGCATCTGGCAACGGCTTTCCAACCCCCTGCTGTTCTTGTCGGGAAGGCCTCTAAGCAGCTTTTCTTGGATGCCTCCTCACCTCCCCAGGCCAATCTCAAGAGGCTTTCTTTAACATACTTGGACAAAGGTCCCAGTGTCTACGTCAGCACACTGTTCACTCACTTTTTTTGTCTGTCTTCTCCAGGACACTTAAAATTACCTACAAGTAGGAATAGCCCCTCATCTTTGCTTACCCAGCAGCTAGTAAGTACCCAGTGCACAGTGCACATCCAACCAACGACTGTCAAAGTCTAGTCGACTTGACGGTAAAGCATACCGATGTAAATAGTAAGGGAATGGTGTACAGAAGCTAATTTCTGCCATCTCCTGAGATTTTAAAACAGACTGTCTGCCTCTCCTGCAAGCTTTTGGGTATCATACCGAATGTCCCAGAAACGAATTTTCTTATCAAAGTGTCCACTCATTACACACTGCTCTGTGCAGACAATATCATTGCAGCTGGATCCTGCGAACACTGTCTTTATGCCTGAAAGAAAAGGAAACGTGGTTAATGAGCAGAGGCCCCTATGGGCTGTGTCTACAACTTTGCTATACTCCAAGCACCAAGTGCCCAGAATCACTCATTTAAATGAGGCCTGACGTAAGAATACCTGTCATTATCTCAGCACCCTCTAAATGTGAAATCACACCTGAAATTCAATTTCTATCACCCCCAGTGCAGACTCAGACCTGGGAACAACCCCCTCAAGCTAATGTCTAAGTATCAGCACAGAAAGACCGAATTTCCTCACAGACTTTGCTGCGTAGATCCCAGAGTTTGAGAGTCCGGTCGTGACTTCCTGAGACAATCCGGGCGTTGTCCAGCAGGAACTTAGCAGAGAGCACTTTCCCGCTGTGTCCTGTGAGCGTGTGCTGGGAGAGAGGACACAGCCTGAGTGAGCCACGGCTTCCACACGCCACCTACTCCGGCGTAGCATCACAGCGTCTAAAATCCCAGGGCCAGCGTCTCAAAGCACCCTGAGATACGATCAGGAACACTCAAAGTGGTGAGAAAGCAGGGGAAAAGAAACATGGGGCGTGAAGCACTGTTTTATTCAGAGTCTCAACCAAAGAGGTCACATGTTTCACACTGAGACTACTTTGGGCATTGCCTAGAGGTGAAATATGAAGACCAACAGACTAAATCTCCCACTAAAAATAACATTAAAACCAAAAATCCACCATCACTAGCACCAATGTCATGTGCCCCCACAGCCTCAGAACAGGGGTAGGGGAGCTACCCTTGTTTCAAAGGACCCCTTTGAAATCAGCTCCACTACAGACACCTTGCACTGTTCTTGGAGCTTTCTAGCTGAGCCTGGATTACATAACATTAAAACATTTAAACAGCCTGGATTTTACCTTGCGCTAGTGAAAGGAAGTTTCGTATTTAAAGTCAGATGAGTAGGGTCAGTGCAGGCACAATTTACAGAAGGAAACATCAGGACTCTTTATATAAATAACCAAAACCCACGGAAGGTTTCAGTCAGAGGTCTCAGTTGAAAATGTCAGATCAGAGCCACAGACACCTGCACTCCCGCCACCAGATCCCTTTTGTGACCGAGCTGTTGGATACCCACCACGGCGTTCTCTCTGGGCTCACCAAGGAACACAGGATGGGGACATCCAGAGTGTCAGCTGCCCTTCCGCCCACCACAGCACTCCTGGAGCCTGATGGAGGAGAGGCAGCTGGGGACCGTGAGGGTGCAGGGAGAGAGTCTGGGCCTCAGCCCTTTTACTATTCATCATCGACCTCTGTACGAAAGCATGTGGAACCCTAGAGGCCCAAAAGGTATTCACTGATGTTTTCTAAGTACAAAATGCCTTTTAAAGACCCTAATACACTTAGTACAACTGCTAATTTACTGGGTTCCAATTCCAACTCCCAGAGATGAGACTTCACAGTTCAGTGCTACTTTAGAGACCAACCTCTCCGCTATTCTCAATGCAACCACCCTGTCTTAGTACAAAAAGAGAAAACTTAGGGCCACATATACTTCCCCTCTTCAATGGAAGAAATCGGCATGGATTCTAAGACTCATTTATCCCACATTTAAACCTCTCTGAAACATCCAGCATCTTACAACTGCTGCCCGCCAGGTGGCAGCTGTGCTGCAGACATGTGAAAACTTCCCACTTACCTTTTGGTAAGATCAAGGAAGTTCCAGCAACAAACCTTACATTAAATATGATGCTCCTCAATCTATGTTGGGGTCAAGTCCTGACAAACCCAGCCTTCGTCAAAAAGTCTTAAGTCAGGGCCCATCTGCACACTCATTTTTACATACTTTAAATGTGCATTTAACACTCTTCCTAAAAATTAACCCATGGGTCTTTTCACCTTACAGCAGAAGTAGTTTTTCATGTGACAGCTGAAACTCACAGCGCTTGGGGTCCTGCTGATTTGGCTCTGAACACCTGGGCCTCAGAGCTTTGTGCAAGGAACATTCTCCAGCTGCTTTAGGAGGGACTCAACAAGGCTGGAGTGTCAATTCCCTTTCTCCAAGTCTTTGCAGATGTGCTATGATAAGCACTGATGAACGTATAGTTTTCTTCTCTGGACTCATTTCTAAGAATGGAATGAAACTGCTGCACTAATGGACAGAGGGAAGGGGTGTTTTTTCCTTGGCTCTTGTCTGTATTTGAGCTTGCCTCTTAGACTTCTGCTTGTCATTCTGACGGCAATTCAGCTGCACCTGCCTGAGGCTGACTGACTACCTCTGCCCCCCAAAGAGTTTGGCCTCCTATAAGCATTCATTCACTTTTATCACTTCTAAGTTCTTTTAAGTGGATCAGATTTAAAATTCTTTTACCCAGTGTTTCTGAAGTTTATTTTTAGTTTTAACACTGCTTTCAGGTTTTATCTTCCACTTTTAAACTGGGCTTAAAAAGAAATAGGCAGTGGGTTTAGATGTCACCACAGCCTGAGCCTCAAAATGGGGGGCGGTGGTTAAAGACTCCTTTGCTCCAACAGACCATGCACGGGCTCGCTGTGTCTCGCAGCAGGTCCTGTGCGCCGACTGCTATTTCTACACACAAAACAGCCCATTCAGATAATGCCTGAACCACACAGCTAACATTAACAGTAACCAAAGCCAAGCCATCTCTGAAAAAGGCGGAACTTGCTGATAGTTTCTGAAATGAAAACCATCACCTAGCAGCCAGTCCTTAATGTGGCCACTTCCCATACCAGGGTGAGAGCAGTCAGCAGGGTGGGCTCTGTCAACTCAGTCCCTCAGGCAGGATCTTCCAGGGCAGCTAGGCAGTTCGGCCCTGCCTGGACTTCCCAGGGAGGAATGACAGAGGACTCCTTTCAGTGCCAGGCTGTGTCTAGGTCACACTCACAAATCGGACATAGAGCAAGTGCCCAACAGCTGCTTCCTGCACAGCAGCCTCTCCCAACCCCATTCCCTTATCAGGCGGGCTCAGGAGATGCTAACCAGGATGTGGATCATGCCGTGTGTGTCAGAACATGGCCAGATGGTCCAGTACTATCCTCCAACACCTCTTGTTAACTGGGATCTAAGAAGCCAGCCCCACCTTGGACAGGGAGCCCAAGACATGCCTGATGTTGTGCCCTTTGCCTTCAAGCCCAGCTCCTAGTCTCTAGGTTCCCTTGTTATTTCAGACCCAAAGATGATGCCCACCTGTCAAGAATTCCTTTTACCAATGAAAAAAATGTTATAGGCTCGGCACCTATAGCTCAACCGGCTAAGGCGCCAGCCACGTACACCTAAGGTGGCGGG